ATAAAATTATTTATAATAACACAATACACCGTTCGCCGCAAATTTTAATAAATTATCACCTATATCATATTATATTTGAATCATCACATCGAATTTTATAACAATTTTACTCGTGATGATTGGCAAGACTTACTGTACATATAGTTCGTATTATAATATAATTATATCTGAATCGTACGTAACATACACATTGCTCTTTAATAATCAAAACGACGCAAGTTCCTCTCAGAAAAAAAAAATTAAAGCCTGCTCAGTGTTAGCTGCAGTGTACTAACAATGTGCAGTGTACGAATAAGAACTATATTGTATGATTAACATATAAATGAGTTTCATAGTGACTCGCGGCATTTTAGTGTATACGAGGTCAGCAAAAGTATAATAAGCGTTATTATTTACTCGCGTGCGTATAAAATATTATATATCATTCGTTCGTGTTTTGACAATTTAATAATTAAACGAAATAAAACTGAGAATGAAATTAAAACTGAGGTGCAGGCCAATCGATTTTTAGTTCCTACTCGAAATGTTCGCCATTGATTTAAAGTACGGCTTACCTATACAACGCGAGTATAATTAAGTTCAAATATCACACTATCAAGGCCCATTTAATGTTTATGGCTTTTCAGATATAGAACACTTTTCTGAATTGATAATTGTTTAGACTGTTTAGAGGCATTCGCTAATTTTTAAAATTCTATTAGCAACGAAATAGTTTCTTGCTCCTCCCGAAAAGTTGGGAAAACCGAGTTGACCGTCACCGAGGTTCTTGACAAGCGACGAGTTCTGATATTATATCACCGTTGACCCATAAAGCAGCTCATAAATATAATATTTATGTACTATGTATATGCCTCACTGTTATATATATTTACTTTTTAGGCATCATCTATAGTCAAATGTTTAACTGTGACGTGATGAAAGATGCCCTCGCGCAGTCTTTGTTTCATTTGTAAAAGGCTACCGGTGCAGACGAAGGGATCTACTTATCCCGTTGTGAATTTTGAACAAAATCCTATTAGCTATTTTTTATATATTCTGAAATCCTGCCATTTTAGTATCGAGATTTTAATTAATAGCGATTGCAGGTAAAGCTATAGTGTATCATTATATATTACCTATACAATATTAGGCAGGTACGAGTCATATCCGAGTACGTAATCAGGATCATTTGGATTTGTTTGTACAAAACTATTTTAATTTGTAATTTTCGTTATTATATTCTAATCTAATATTAACTACGGTGTTTAGGCGGCGCTTCAAGTAGTATTATAATAAGTGTTATAATGGTAAAAATAAAATAAAATAATTATAGTCGAACTATTTATCAAAATATTTTTTATTTCCTGTTGCTTTTAAATATTCGCGAATCCAGTACTATATAATAGTACACTGCTATATAGACATACCTACCCAAATAAAATAGCTGATAATGTTTGTTCGCACTTAAAATACATAAGCTGTATAATAGGCGATCGCCTACCACGCGGAGATTTAAAATTTGAGTGCAGATCGACCCCAATCGTCGGGCACACCACTACATGCGGGGTGTAGTGGGTGGTGGGTTCACGTCTTACCCGAACCCGACGCACTATCATATTATTATCATTGTTATAATATGACGTCAGACTCACGCGTATGTCTTCGACTGCCTTGCCAAGTTGTTCGATGGTCCGGTCCTTTTCGTCCATGGCCGCTTTGAGGCGCTCCACGTCCCTGGTCAGTTGGCCGACGGCGGCGGTGGTGGTGGTGGTGGTGGTCATCTTCAGGTCGGACACGGCACTGCGGGTCGACTCGGTCGTTTTCCGTCTGACTCCGCCGCCGCCACCGCCAGAAATCGCGTTGCCCATGAACAACAGCAGCGCGTGGCACATGCCGTAGCCCTCGTATATATTATTATTATTATTTCGATTATATTATTATAATATACTGTTCCACCTGCGGGTCGCCGGCTGGCCCGTTCGTCGTGCGTGCGCGGCCCGGTTACCCCGGTATAATATATTATAATATGTATACCCGACCAAACGAACGGTGACTATATTATTATATTATTGTTGGCGTTTGATAATAATATTGTTATACCACAGTCGCGGTCGTCGTCGTGCTACGACTCTTCGCCATATAATATTATCATACACTCCGTGCACTACGACGCTGCAACTGGTCTGGACTCGATGCGGGTGCACCGCCACCGCCGCGGCCACCGTCCATCAGTCAGTCGGCCTTGCGAAGTGTACCCACCGAGTGTGTATAAATTATAAAACGTCGTGAAATAATTATTATCGCTGGCGCCGTTATCGTGGTCGTCCCCTATACGTATATATTATTATTATTATGTAGAGTTAAAATACGCTAACACTGGTTGTTTTTTTTTTTTTAATTGGGTCACAGACCACCCACGAACTCACGACATTATAGAATTTTATACAGGGTCTTTTAAAATTGTGTGCGTGCGATCGCACCGAAACTCAACGCCATCGCCACCGGTGGGCATATTTTCTGTCACGCGAATAGTTCGAATTCGACCCTGTGGCTATAATAACGCTGCAGCACACCTTACGCAATAATAAAAATATTATATATGCGTTTTCCTCGTGTACGACAATACGATGTTATGTACCGTATACGTTTACCTCACAGCGATATTACATATTTTATTTTGTACAATCGTTTTTTCTTTTTTCTACAATTTTCACGGGCACGCCATAAAAAATTGTCACCCAAGTCCCCATTCATACTGCGCACCTCGTCCACTGCAGATTGCGACCCAATGGCTGCACCGAGAACCCTCAAAAACGATATTCCACAGTCGTGGATTTCGCGCACCGTCGCATGCGACTATATATGTATTGTGTTTATGCTCATGTATAGGTATATATTATACTTAAGACATTTTTTTACTCGAAGGCGATCGTCGTTTATGTTATTGTCGTTGCGTGTATATTTTATTATTATTGTACGAGCTCGGGCACCTCGAAGACGTTAATCTGTCCATAAATAATTTAGGCAAGTGAGTATAGGTTTTACCCAACTGCTGCAGCCACAGGAAGGTGAGTTTTCGTATTCGTTTTATTATTATTATTGTAAAATATTGGATTTTGGGTGGGACAATTCGTATCACCGTATCTTTATCTTTACCGTACGCTTCTCTACTATTAGGATAATCCATAATGTGAAAATGTACATCGTAGTTATATTTTTATTGTAAAATTACCTAAGAAATAATGATTTGTATATTATTTTATCATAAAACCTATGAAGTATACAAAAACGGCAAAACTTTCAAAATCGTTGAAAATTGCAAAAAAATGCAATATAAAATTAAATAGAAGGTCTATAATATTAGTCCGATTCGTGTATCTATTCGATCAGATTCGATTTATCTGATATTATAATGTATCTTTTTAATATTTTATTTTGAGGGAGAATTGCATATTAATTAACTTTTAAAAAATAAGCTATTAGTTTGCTGAAATTGAATTGACTTGATAATTTGTTTTATTTGTATAACATTTTTAGCGTTTATTTTAGAAAGCCATTAAAAATATTTTTCTATAATTTTATAATAAGGATTTTATTTGCAGGTTTTGAATTCGAAGCTCGAGGACGATGATTAAAGATAAAGTTAAATAATTACTATAATACATAAACATAGAAGATGGTTGGAAAACAGTCAATAAGAACAAAAACCAGCATTCCAGTACAGTTGCTAAATGAGGAACAAATAAGAATATAGTGCCATAGTGGTGTTCATTCAAAGGCACACCGCTGGAAGTATGACATATATCACACGTCACATAATATATCACACGGTCGATGGACTATAAAACGTCATCCGGTTCCGGTAGCGGGATTATAAATATATATTTTACATTTATACAGGACAAATCACCGGAAGTGCCACCTCCACGAAGATGGTTGTTGAATCATTATGATATTATGGTCGAAACGTCATCAGGCCAGACTAAAAATGTACACAGGTGAAGCATATATATACTGCAGGATATTCACCATGCTCATCACATCCCTTTTTTTTCTTTACTTGTGTAGTTATTGTTCAAAATCTGATTTTTGGAATTTTTAACTGTAGGTATACATACATATTTTAGGATAGACCATATTTTCGAGTACCTTCTTGAGATTTTTCTACCGTTTATAAAATATAAATAAAAAAAATATTTTAACTAAAATCATAATAACAATAAGTAGGAGGTAAATATAGTACTGTTCCAGTACAGTTGTAAAAGCCGTATTTGTAGCTGGCATTAGATATTAGGTGTATTGCAACTTTTGCAGTATTTCTTATAATTTTTTTAAAACGATGATTTTTACATTGTACAGCTACAATCTTATACGTATAAGAACCCTTTTTAACCCTTTTTTCGTTGATAATTTTAAACCTATTATTATTGACTAAACATAAATAGAATATTAAGACAGTTGATTTAATCTATTTTTCCTTGAGAGAATTTTGGATATTTATTTATAAATGATCAATAAATAATGATTCGATACTCCATAGTATATTACTGAATATACTTTTTTGTTGTCCGTTTATTGACATTGATTTTCAACCTAAGATTACTATATCTTGAGAGTTAAGTTAGCTTTAAAAACATAATCTACGATAATAGTAGCTGCAGAAATTGATAGAAGACAATAATTATTATATGAGTGTTGATTACTCGATATTAATTATTCTTTTCAAATTATACAAAATCCCTTGCTTGTATAATTATAGGTACCGGAATCCAATTTGTAAACTATGTGCTAATTAACATACAGAATTGTATCGGAGTACAATGTATATATATTATTATTGTTACAAAAATATATGAAAACAGCAAACGAATATAATAATATTTTACTCAGCTATATATACCTATATATATACAATCAGTATGGTAGTCACTACATGGTATCTAAGAGACGTTCATTCAAAATAACTTGTTTTGAAACATAACTACTCATTATCTATTACAATATTCTTGTTTTATAGAACCATGACAGGGCGCATACACCCGTGTTCAAGATGTTTAATCGAAAAATGTATAATTTCAAAAGTAGATGATGATCCTAGGGATGAAATAATAAACACTGTGAGAACCTTATTATTAATATTATAGTCATTTTATAATCATCTGTAGACGATGTAAAATTAAACGTTAGAACACAGCGATAAACTTATACATATTATAGATAAACGTTTCACAAGTAAAAGAAAAATCCAAAAGATTGCAACAACTGATATTAAAAAAGAGAAAAGAGTATTGGTCAAGTTTGGCAACGAAGAAATGTGTACAAACGCCTACGACTACAAATCCAATATTTTACAAGTGAGTTGTACGTATAGGTATTATAGTATTGTTGTATAATATAATTTATAATATGAAACATTTGTAGTGGCCCCAAATTTTAGGTTATGTTAAAATTGTATACGCCTGGTTGTAGGTACCCCTAAACGATCGAACACTATGTAAAATATATACAAAATCGATCTCCACTGCACCTGTCATCCAAGCCCCATGGTCAATATCTTAGAAAACTAACCAGCTGTAGTGTATACATTATCATATTTAATAATATATTATAATAGCCGATAATGGCTGAACGTCCCTTATTGGATTTCATATGTCTGATTTCTTTTTTGTTCTTATCAAATCCGCGTACTTAATATTTCAATATATAATGGATATTATAGAATATAATTCTTTAATTTCATATTAAGAATGGAAATAATTTATTAAGAATTTTAATACACAAAAATCTCGAACTAGCAGTTAGTTGCTAAAAAGTTTTTAAAAAAAAAGTATTTTAAGTTTAGATCAACCTAGCAGAGTGGTACACATGGGTACCTCCCAAAATCTTGGGTTCACTCATCATACTTTAAATACGTAGGTATAACTAATTTTTCACTATTTAAATATTATATAAACGTTACTAATCATAGTCATAATCAAAATACAATTTAAATACTTAAATATACAGTCAAGCCTCAATAACTTGAATTTTTTTGTTTAAGTTTTTTTAGTTCTGTTTGAGGTATGTAACTTTAAAAATACATAAGTCAAATTTAATTTTATTCAACTTGACATTTGAGTTAGCGACTGCTCATATTACATTTGAATGGCAATTTATTAAAAGGGACCCGAGTTACATTTTTGACAAAAATAGTTTTGTTGTATATTATCCATCCTCTTATGTAAACACATCGTTTTGTGTTAAAAAGTACCTACCTATTTCGTATCTTCTTGTCTGTGCAAAATTTTATGAAATATTTCATAGTTTGTTAAAACGTACCTATGTACCTATATACTTATCACGCAAATAGAAATAAAGGAAAATTGTTTTTTGTTTCTCTTGAAAAGTAGTTTAAAATGTACATGGGCCCCTTTTAACAAATTGCCATTAATTTATTGTTATATGCCTATATAGTCGACTATAGTATTTATTTTAATTTAATTTAACTATGGCCAGTAATTTATTTTTATAATAACTTTGATTAATCTTCTAAGGACATTATTCTTTTTTTTTTTTTTTTCAACAAAACGCTTCAAATGCCACTGTTATTAGCGTACGTGATTAATTTTTTGTTTTTTAAACAGTATTATTATTTTTTGTAGATATTTTGCTAAATTAAATTATACAATTCTGACATTTTAAAAAATATGTTACTTTGATGTTCGCATTTTCGCCGGTTCTCAGTACAGTGTTACATTACTTTTATGCAATAATAAATGATTAAATTCTTTGAAAACTGCACAGTTATTTTCATAAAAACAACAAAATAAATAATATATATTCCATGACTTATGCATTTATTTTTACAAGATGATATTTCCTAGTATTTATTGTTGTTTAGAAACATGATTTTAACTTCTCTATTGAACTTTTGTTAGTTAATATAGATAATTGTATAATATACTATACAAGTCATACAAATATAAAACCTGTTACGCGTACCTATCTAGTAGTTATTTATTAACGCATTTTACCATATTAAAAATAAAAATAACTTAAAATGTCACCACCACACCCACAAGTCACCATAATATTACGCCAATGTAAGTGTAATGCAGCAGTGATACGTTTGTTTAAAATATGTTTCTTGAGAAAATAGTAAAATTTAATTAGCCATCAGCATTTACATCATTTAGACATTTAATATTTTAATGCACCTAACGTGGCACGTCCAATAATAACACGGACATCATCGAAAAATAATTAGACAATAAATAATGCGGCACACAGTGCCAGTCGGCTTTCCATCTGACAACAGTGTCGTGGTGAGGGGGTTTCTCAGGGGCCTCGATCCCTATATTATGGTTTTTAGGCGGGTGGGTGGGCAGATGCGGGGTGTCATACCTATTATGAATTGAAGTGAAGAAATTTAATTAAGCAATAATTAATACATAATAGATAAGTAATGCAGTTGAATATTAATTGCATTTGGGAGTGGGTGGGTTGGAATTCTGTATTTGGTCCCTGCCCAAAAAGAAGTTTGCCACGCAGCTGTGTGACAGTCAATAACATTATTGAGACGGTCGTGTCTTTGACCGGTATATAGTTTGAACAGCTTACGCAGTGGTTTATCGTGGGGAGAACGACACGGGGACAGATGGCTGTCATATTAAACGCTTACGAAAGATTAGACCAAAGTAAACCGGCTTCAGATTTTATTTAAGGATTAGCCGTTAGGTTATATTATTTAGTGATACCGGAGGGTGAAGATTTAGTTTCGTAAGTTTTTATTTTTCAACTATTTCGCACCACAACGTTGAATCGTATTTGTATATATATATATAACATATAGGTACTATCTGATCCCGTGCACTTTGTTATAATATGTACCAACTCTACATGACTCAAACTTTGTTCAATTCGTTATTTAATAACTGGTGTTCAAAATGTATCTTAACTTTTCCGTTGCCTGGAATAAAAATTCTGATTTGCAGCAGTATATTATCAGGTAGTCAATCTACCTGCGGTAGGTAGCGGACCCCGTGCTGTTTGTACGTAAAGTGTATGATTTAACTCTAAAGTATCAAAGTTATACCAAAAATTAATACAAAATCCTTACCAAACAGTACTAATATCAGATGAATAAAAAAAAAACAAATTTACCCATTTTTAAACTAGTCTGTCTTCTTCTCAGAGGTCTAATAATATACACACAAATATTCATTTAGGTATATATATATATATAAAAAAATAATAATACAAATCAAGAAACATGCCCGATTAACCAATAGCAACCAATATATAATACACTGTTGCGCCACTGTTGTATTTTTTACATCCAGATTTCCTACTTTTCCTAAAATTTCTTTCTTAAAAAACCTTCTCCTGGCAATTACGAACATCTTAAAAAATTTGAGCCAAATCGGACCAGCCGTTCTCGATTGATGAGGTATACGACATTTCACTCTCCATTTTTATATAATATAATTAGTTTGGGCGATTTCGTAACATTCCGTGACAATATTGATGGGCCGCTATTATGTTTATAGAGATGTCATTATTATATCGTGTCGTTATTTTAGCATAGGGCCCAAGGGACGTTTAAAAGGTTTTAGAAGTATCAAGAGCGATGATTGAGTGGGGCCATGTCACTAGTCCGAGAGATTTCCGCCATTATTGGGAAATTATCGGAGTTATTTATTGTTAACGCGGACTGTGAATGTGCGGTTTTCTGTTTGGGATTTATTGTTTCAGGTACCCTATAACGCCCGAAATAATATATTATTCTTGTAAAACGAAACGACACAGAACGAAACCACGTTTCTCCGAGTAATAAATTGTGATTGCACTAAACTTTTTGTTTGAACACGAAATTTGCTTGTTACGATTTTTAATTACAAATCAAGTGTACGTACAACACGTAAACGTACGGATCATTGCAGCCCCGACTATTGTACAGGGATTTTATTTTACGATCTCGAAGCATAATAAATTATGAGGCCAATTTTTCATAAATTATAACCTTTGAAAGTAGCATAACTTTAATACCCAATGCTCGCATTGACGATTTATGATTATCAACTGTGTATATAGATTAGAGAGTAGGTACAAAATAAACCGTTGTCCTTTGCAGGCTTTGTACTAGAAATCAAACACCCTCGGCATAATTAGAGTATTATCCGATTCACCCTTAGTATTCGTCGTACCTATCTCCTTCCCACCGATTTGATGCCGACTTCTCCTTCGTCACATTGCTTTTTGATGCGGCTCTCACAACAATAGCAATCGTTATCTATTTAATTGCCTGACCGCGACCCCCCCCATTTTGGGTTCAACCAACCATCACAATCGTTTGCACAGCGTGTTATTCTCAGCTCTGCTTACTCTAGATCACATTCCACCACCATATTAATTGTTATCACTGTTAAGTCTTAAGTTTTAGATTTTAACCATAAGCGTTCCCAATAAGTAGGTACTGTTTTTTTTATCATAACTTCTTCATTAGGCAATCTGTTACAATAAATGAATAATAAGCTTACTGCTTAATTGATAATAATATTAATACGCATGGGAAAGATAGAGTGAAGAGAACTCTCAGTTGAGAGGTACTTATTGTTTTAATTTTTTTTATAAATTTGCATCCTAATTAGTGTCTATATCAGTCACATCAGTTTTTGATTTTATAGTTGGTGAAATTATAAAAAAAAACATTTATACCACAAGTACTTAATAACCAATAAGTAATAATTAATTGGCGTGCCACTGTTGTATCCCATAATTTATGGTCAATAAAATATTGATAGTTTGCATATTATGTATTTTTATCGACGGCTGTAACCTTTTTATTGTTTTATATAAATAAATCATTGTTTAGATTGAATAATAAAAACGTGAAAAAAAAGTTGTGGAATACCAACCGATTAAACGAATTATCCAAGCCCAGATTCGATTTTTACGAATGCACGTGAGTACACTATTTATATTATAATAAAATATTGATTTAATATTATCTAGGTATATTAATACACATGGTTAGGTGGTTAGGGTTAGGTTAGGCTATGGTCATATTACGGTACAATCAAATTGGCTCCCAATATTAGAGAAATTGAAACCGACCGTTGAAATGGCTCTCCAAAAAAAAAAAATTGTAATAGTTTCTAAAACCATAAATTAATATAATTTAACAATTATTGGTCTTTTTCAAATGCACTGAGAAAAGTGCAATGACCAAAAAAATTGGTTTTAAAAATATAAGAACATTGATCTTGAATATTTTATTTATTATATAGGTTTAAGTGTTTACTACATTAATAATTTATTACTTGTATGAATCTATAGATTAATAGTAAGACTACAACAGAAAGAAATTTATAAAGTAA